TTTTTTTTGTTTTACCTTCAAGTGCTAGTATCTGACTTGAGCACTGCCCAGTTGGATTTCTGCAGGTCTGCAGACAAGGAGCTCCGCAAGGTTTGTACTGCCACTCACATTTGCCAGGAGCATTGTAATAATCACAGAACAACGCTGTAAGAGGAAAAATAATTTCAATCAAATTTTTTTTGATTGTCTCTTTCAGTGATTCAAATTAAACTAAGAAAATTAACAGTGTCTCACGGCATATTTTAGGTGTTCTCCAGGCAACGCAGGCTCCAGCCTCATTACAGGCTTGTGCATACGCTGCTACAGCAGCACACAAACAGTCATGATCCCCACCGCTATCACAAGCACATGAGTCTCTCACACAAGCATCATAAAAATGATTGGGATCCACCTTAATAAGAAAAATGCAATTCGATCATACATACGAGAACAACAGGGTATTGTACAAGCTCACCATGCTGCATGTTAACTTACTTGAGAATGACATGTTGTAAAAACTCCACTCGTAATGATACTACATTCTTTCTGAGCCCATGATTTCCTGTAAGGGTTATTTGAGCAGGGATTTCTCATTTCCATAGTAACAGGACAGCTATTAGACTCTTTCCAATCGTTTCCAAAGTCCAAGGGTTTAACTACCACCTCCTGACTTCTCAACATGAAGTCGTTGTTTGAGTTCCCATCAAAGTTCCCGCAAAGACCACAAACAGCACCCTGTGACAGAACAAGAAGCATGTTAACTAACAGCCTTTCAAGACAACTCAATCTAAACAATACACTGTGGTCTCTGAGGCAGCTATTCAATGATACATCACTTTAGATGTATTTCTCACCTTAAAGTTTGGACTGAGTTTGATGAACATATTTGCCCTCTGGTCCCACATGACAATTAGTCCATTATTTGCCTCAATGACCATGTATATTCCTCTTATCAAGATTTGGTAAGGAATGTCCACTCCCCCATCTCTGTGAAGAATCTGATAACCTCCATCTGTCAATTTGACCTCCTTGTTCTAAAAGAAGAAAATGCATGTATTTATCAGGCACCTGTGATATATATATATATATA